GGCGTGGAAGCCTGGGTCTGCCATCTCGTCAGCCACCGACCACGTGGCGGCCGCGGGCAAAACTTTCCCGATTCCCAGCGCGCCGTCGACCAGCGGTGCGCGGGGAAGCGAGAGCGAGGGAAGCCGCGCGGGAACGGAGGAGCAGAGAGCCACGTGCATGCGGCGAGAGAGAGAGGGTGACCATCCGAGTACGGAGCCGAGCAGTCATAACTAATAAAGGACGCAAGTCTCAACGTGTCGTGGAAGTCGTTTCTTACGCCTGTAACCAGGCCCCAGCACTGACAACGTATGCTGAAAATGGCTCCCAGCTACATCTCAACACAGGTGCTGTGTACCTGGATCTCAGCAGCATATGACAGAGTCTGGCACCTGTGGACTTCTGCTAATCGCTGTCACGTGTCCTACCACACTCAGAAGCGAACACCATCGAGTTTTACTGGTAGGAAACGGTAGTGGACTGGAAGCCCAACCGGGATTAATTCACAGGAGGCAGGGGATTAATTGTGTATGTCTGTCCACGTCGGAGGGGTGGGGCTGGTTGGAGAGGGGAGGGTAGGGAGGGGCTGGGTGGGGAGGGGAGGGGAGGGTGGGGAGGGGCTGAGTGGACTGCCTTGGGGGCCTGTTTTTGCCCCAACACTTTTCAACATTTTCATCAACGATTTACCTCCTGAAAAGTCACGCCCATTTGGCTACGCGGTCGACATCTGCATCACGACCCAAGACTGGACTTTCTCACAGCTTGGAGAACGCTCTAAACAAGTACATGGAACATGGTAACAGACTACTGCAGCAGATGACGTCTCAAGCCAAGCACAAGCAAAAAAAGTTTGCAGTGTCATTTTCGATTTAAAGCTTTCGTGACTGCAGGGATTCATCTTCTTGGTTCTTTCGGTAAAGTCACCACCACGTAGAATGGAAATAAAATAATAAAAATACAACAAAATATCATTTTATTTCCATTCTACGAGAAGAAGAGTTTGCAGTGTGTTTCACCTGCGCAATGCCAGGGCCACCTACGGGCTGAAAGTGCACCTAAATGGCCACTTAATAGGACATGACCCAAAGCCGGTGATGTGCCTTGGAGCGACGTGCCGTTCTCACCTTGAGCAGTCCCCTGCCAAGTTTGCGCTCCCGGAACTGTCTGCTGGTGCTGGCCCGGCTGGCTGGCTGGCTGGCTTCAAAGTGGGGCGCTAGTGCACCGGTCACTGTGTATGGTGGGCCCCAGATGGATTTTAGTTTCATCGTAATTATTTTATATTGGCAGATTCATGCGACGTGATTTTACCCCAATGATATAATGTTCACACGTTTATAAATCACCTCACCTTACCCCCCCCCCCCCCCGGGACATTGCCACGTACCCCCACAGGGGTTCCGCGTACCACCCCCTGTTAAGAACCGCTGGTGTAAAATAATAAATGATGGGACGAGGCAAGAGGAGGCCGCGCTATATACAGGGCGTTTCAAATTTCGTTTTCAACACTTCTGAGAATTGGCAACAATACCACAAAGAAATGTGCTGCTGCCTCCGGGCTCTGGAGAACACCTGGCAAAGATTCCAGGCAATGCGTTGACAACGACGGCGAACAAGTGGAGGCTCTTTGACTCGTTGAGTCTATTAACATTACATTTGTTATCATGTTACAGTGTTATTAGGGGCCGTCCATAAATGACGTTACGCACCTGGAGGAGGGGGGGGAGGTCACACATTTGTGACGATGTGTGACGAGGGTGGGGGGTTTGAGAAATGTGACGTCACATCAAAGTGGACGGCCCCTTTTCCATTCTTTTTGCATGAAAAACGATAGTCCCATGTGAGTGTTAACATTTATTTGAAGCACCTCTGTATAGAAGCCTAGGTGCGTGACGGTGCGAAGCGACAAGTCGCAGTCAAGGTTTTGACCCCACTTGACCCTATTCAGAAACGGAACATGTGACTGCAGGAATTAATCTTTGTTTTTTTTTCGGTAAAGTCACGTAGAAATAAGAAAAAATTAAATTACATGTAATTTAATTTTTATTTCTTATTTTTTGTTTTATTTCTACTTGACTTTATCGAAAAAAACAAAGATTAAAAACATTTATTCATACCGGAGAAAATCCGATAAGCCGCGAAGCTCTTTTTGCACACACGTCCAGTGCGATTGAACCTGTACGACGAACGTCGTTGTACACCCCTAGCTGCCACTGCTAATCAGTGGCCTAAAATAAAATAAAATGTTTCGCTCCGGATGACCGCCGCAAAGTATTATCTGTATTTTGATTTAGCGTGCTGATCTTAAAGGTGCATTGAAAAAATGTGATACTCCGACTGATGCTCCTGTTGTTTGCGGAGTGACTCATGCAGCCAGCTGTGGCTCTAGGGTTTGGTGTTACATGTTATTTATGTAGTTTATTGTCAAAAATTCGGTCACAGTTCCTATGATCACTGTTACATTGCTTTTATGGCTTTATTTTGGTGAATTCTAAAAGTTTTTTGGTTTGGCCATGTTTTTGTTTATTGTAGTACGGAGTTAGACTGATGGCCTTAATCTAAGTTTTCTTGTTGTTGTTGTTTGACTTGCATCCCACTGGGATTTTTGCACACAGCGTTGGTGTACGGTGCTATTTCAGAAATATTATGATGGTTTTTTTCCTGGATTTTCTGTTTGCACAGTCACACATAGTCACTTTAAGATGTTTTCTTGTTCGTGTTTTTGTTTGTTTTGTTTGTTGCGGTTGCACCCGATTCAATAGCCGAATGGCTCACAGGCTATACCAAAATAAACAAAACTATGGAACTATGAAACTCCGCCCACCGCAATGCGAGGGTCACGTGGCGTGGCCACGTGGCGTCGCGCGTCACAGCTTCACAATGGGGAAGTGACGGCGACGATTTCGCTTTGCTGGGAAGACGGAGTGCGGCCGGACAAACGTCACCGTTCGGCGGACAGCGAGCAAGCCTGTCGCGATTTCCCGTTGTGAGCTTTTTATTCTGCTTTTGTTTGATGCATACTATGCGTTCAGTGCCGTATACGAAAATGCAATATTGGTTTATCAAATATGCGCACCGTATATCAGTACATGTTGAAAACTGCCCCAAGTGATGGCACACTCATCTCGAGACTTGCTGCAGCGATAGTGCAGATGTTGTTCTTGTCGGTGCCATGTATTCAGGTTGGTGTCATCAGTTTAATCATGGTGCTACGATTATAATGATATTATTAAGTAACGATTTATATTCTTGGTTCTTTCGGTAAAGTCACGTGACTTTACCGAAAGAACCAAGAATATGAATCCCTGCAGTCACGAACGCTTTGAGTCAAAATGTAATAATATATAATTATTAATACAGTTTTTTTTTCCCACTGATACACCAACAGTATTACTCGGCCAATTGCCTTAGTAATATTACCGCTAGGCATGCATTATGTATTGAGGACGCTGCATCAGCTGACTCTGTGTAAGTGACGATACCATTACTACCCGGGTAAATAGCCTAAGTGAAAAATAAAAAAAACACCTCTATTATGGATGCTGTTGGTCGCGAAAGCCCACACGTTAAACGGACGTGTACAAAATCTAGCGACTAAAAATCGAGCGACTGTTGTGAGGTTCATTGTCGTTGTTTGGGTGTTGTGGTAATCAGTCTCGCCCGTGTCTCTTCCCCTCTCTAGCATCGTAGCGACGTCAAAGGCAAAGATCCACACCACCACCACCACCTCCCCCCGTTATAGTCTGCTGTGGGCGCAATTGTTGTTAGTAGCGAGCAGCAGCACCTGACGGAAGGCCGGCGCACAGTGGCACGCGAGATAGGTTGAATGGGTGGGTGGCCAGCACCACGGCACGCCCGAAAGTTCGCCTTTGTCCTCCCTGAGTGGCGATGTTTTTCTTTTTTTACACGGCACTCGTTTGAGGCTGAGTCGACCTAGGGGAGGCCCCGTGAAACGGTTAAACCGGTAAACAAACAAACAAACAAATGCCCTTGTTATTATTGGCCGGTGAGTAGGAATCGACCTCGGTTCCGTCGGGGAGCGGTGGCGCAGCGGTTAGCGCGCGGCTATGCGGTCGGACATGAGTCAACAGTGTATCGTAGTGTGCACGGCACACAGGTGTACATACAAAAAGACACATTCAGAGACACGTACACGAATACATAATTGTGTGTGAGTGTGTGTGTACTGTGGTGAGCTAGTTGGCAGGCAGCTGTCTCACCCGTCACCTACTGGACATCTTAGCGCATCGGATTCCTCCAGGACAAATACAGATTCCGATTCTAATACAGAGAAACAACAACAACAAGCGCCATTCGCTACTAAGTGGCGGTGACGTCACCACGACGCCTGTGCCAGGCCATGTGCACTTTAAGGCCACGTTAAGTGTCGAACGTCCGCTGGCAGGTAGTCACGGGACAGACCCAGCTGGTGCCATGGATTGTCTGCTGTGCCAGGCTAGGTGCAGGAGGAGGTCACAAGACAGACCCAGCTGGTGCCATCGCTTTATTGCTGTGCCAGACTTGGCGCAGGAGGAGGTCATGGAACAGACCCAGATAGTTCGATGGGTTGACTGACTGAGATATCTGACTTGCCGATGCACCACCTGTGCCCACCCCCCTAACTGTGCCACGCTAGGTGCAGGAGGTCACGGGACAAGACCCACCCCTGCTGTGCCAACCACACTGCTGCGGCTTCTTGCTGGGTTTTTTTATAACCGCCCTGGTCGCGCAGATGGCCGTGTCGGCGCCCGACACGGACAATCTTCTGAACTGCTCAATCTGCCTGGAGGACTTCACGGAGCCTGTGTCTCTGCCCTGCGGCCACACGTTCTGCAGGTGGTGCATCAACAATCACTGGTCCGACGCCATGCGGGCAAAAGGCCCCCTTAACGTGCCCGCAGTGTCGAAAAGCCTACACCAGCGCGCTGCCGCTCCACAAGAACGTGGTGATCGACGACGTCGTCAGGGACAGGAGGGAGAGGCGGCAGGGTGGCGATCGCAGATGGAGCGTGGTGAGTTCAGGACGATGACGAAGGTCCCTCAACCCTGCCGCCGTGCTTGGCTGTTAACAGACTTTTGGGGGCGAGCGTGGTTCGTAGCGAGTGGCAGCACCTGTGAAAGTGGGGTGTGGGTGGCCAGCACCACGCCCGGCCGCATTTGCATCCCCAGTGGCGATGTTTACTATACGCCGCACCGGGCACTCATTTGAGGCTGAGTCGACCTAAGGGACGCCCAGGAGCAGCTCAGATGATTGCTGTCACTGGTGGTGGCCGTGAGCGGGAATGGAACCCTGGCCTCTGCCGAGTTCGTAGCGGAGTACGTTAATCGCTACGCTCTCGTTCCCCGCACAGATACGCACGCACACACGGGGTGTTGTTATCGTTGACTGTGCTTGTGCACCACTGCCAACGCAGCAGCAGCAGCATCATCACCAGCTCACCAACTACTATGTTTTATTTTACCAGGTAAAGGCCCCACTGAGCTATGCAGTGCTTATACTGGTAGGAAACGTAGTGGATTGGAAGCCCAACCGGGATTTATTCACAGGAGGCAGGGGTTTAATTGTGTATGTCTGTCCACGTCGGAGGGGTGGGGCTGGGTGGAGAGGGGAGGGTAGGGAGGGGCTGGGTGGGGAGGGGGTGGGGAGGGGAGGGGAGGGTGGGGAGGGGCTGGGTGGGGGGTTGGAGGGGTGGGGCTGGGTGGGGTGGGGCTGGGTGGGGAGGGGCTGGTCACCCCGTGGTGCCCTTATATGGACTGGAAGCCCAACCGGGATTAATTCACAGGAGGCAGGGGATTATACACTGCACTTTCTGGTGCGACCTCTTTTACACTGCACTTTCTGGCGTCGTTTTATAATTCTGCTCACTTTTCATTTTGCTTTCGTCTGCGCACGACCCCAACAAGTTTGGCTTAAATATCCGTACATAATTTCTTCATATTTCAAAATGTAATTACTTCAAAATTTCCTACCAGCCCCCTCCGCAGGAATGTGTTTCAGAAGCGACCTGGCTGTCACAAATGATAGCACGACGAAGTGGCTCATCGTCATCATCGTGCGGTGAATTAATAAGAGCAGTCAGATACTCGAAACGCGTTACGTTGGTTCTAAATGAGGGAAAAACCGGGGGACCCAGAGGAAAATCCACTCGACCACGGGCGGAGAGAAAGATAGATGCAAACTCCAAACATACAGTAGTGCATCAGGGTCGGGATCAAACCCACAACTTCCTGTGTGCCGGGCGAGGTTGTTAACATCTCCTAGCCACTGTGGCGCCCCTACTCAACACGTCCCCTGCTGTCGATGATGCGCTCCACCACGATATCCTCGTCGCGACCGCCTTCGCACCGGACTCGGGAATCGGCGGATCCGTACTGTCGTGCGATAATTCAGCCATCCGGCAGCGGACCACAAGAAGTCAGTGAGTCGACGCGGCCATCGGTCCAAACTCTACACGGCCCATCGCTCGAATACCACGACCTCCTTGTATACACCTGTCGAGGGGGCCGTGCGGGCGTTAGCATCTCCTTAACTACCGCCGTGCCGTGCTAAAACGTGGGGGGGGGGGGGGGTGGTGGGGGCGCGCCCGCGCTCGCGCTCATGTTTCGTACCATTTTTCAGGAGCTGCTAAGCGCGTTTGGGCAAACGCTGACGGACAGGGAGCGGACGACCACCGCCCTCGTTAGCGGCCTCCAGGACAAGGTGGGCGCCGCAGAGGTGAGGGGGGGGGGGTTTGGCTGCTCGCCGCCGTGGGCCTCAAGCCACATTGCTCGTCCACCTTCGCAACAGGCTCATCGATCCCCTACCCCCACCACCCCCGCAATCATAGGTGCGTGTGTGTGTGTATCCAGTTGGGTGTTATCGCCAGAAAGGGGTGCATACGCCCCGCTATTCTTGTAGATGAGGTGATCGGGGTTGGCACGGCAAAGAGTTACAAAATGGGACATTTTTGCCAGTATCAAAGTGTAAAGAAACACAAGAGTAGGAGTTGGTGTTTGAACATCTTAACACCTGTTTTATTGCCAGGAAGAGTAAAACCGATTCTCGTGTTTTTTTTCCAGTGGTGGGGTTGTTGTCGTTGTTCCGGTTTGCCGAACGAATTCAGCGTTACAAGGTCGCGCTCACTACACACAATCAAAGTGCTTGCCGCAAATGAACCACGATGCCTTGCCGATGTCCTCATCGAGGAGCTTAAACCGTCCTCGCAGACATAGCTAACAAGGTGGCAATGTAGCGGAGCATCGAGAAGGCTTGATTATATTGCAAATCGCTAATCTACGGGACTCCTGACAAAAACATTAGCAAGCTGCAGCGTGTACAAAATTCGCTGACACGTGTCGCGACGGGTACTGCAAGGTCCGACCTTGTCCATCCGGTGCTCGCCAAGCTGCATGAGCTTCCGGTTGCCGAACGAATGCGTTATGAGGTCACACTCATTGCACGCAAAGTGCTTGCCACAAATGTACCGCGATACCTTGTTGCTGATCTTGCCAAGGAGCATAAACCGTCATCATTCGGACTCCGGTCATCCTCGCAGCAGCGGCGGCTTTTGACTAACGATCGAACAAAGACGGTCACCGCATGGCAAGCTTTCTGCGGGCGTCTAGAACGCTCTTCCGATGTTAGGGAGCGACTGGAGCTATGCACGTTTAAATAATCTGGATTGCAAACTCATTCCTTGAGAACTGCTTTTTGGTATTTAGTTTGTTGTCCTTCCCCTGCACCTCCGATTAGCACGGTTGCCTGCGAGTAGTGCACACAGTACACATTTAGTACGCACGCAATATTGTATTTCTCTGGGTGTATTTCTGTGTGCGTATCCCTATGTGTATGTATCTCTCTGTATGTGTCTCTGTTGGCCCAATAGGGGGTACAGCTGGTGCATCTGCCAGTCATCTCAGTCAGTCAACCCATGACTTCCTGTCAGCAGCGAGCCTTCGACACTTCACATGGCCTAAAAGTGCACCTAGCCTGGCACAGGCGTCGTGGAAACGTCACCGCCACTTAGTGGCGAATGGCGGTTGTTATTGTTTCCCTGTATCAGAATCGGAATCTGTATTTGTCCTAGAGGAATCCGATGCGCTAAGATGTCCAGTAGGTGACGGGTGAGACAGCTGCCTGCCAACTAGCGCACCACAGTACACACACACACACAATTATGTATTTGTGTACGTGCCTCTGAATGTGTCTTTTTGTATGTACATCTGTGTGTCGTGCACACAGTACGATACACTGTTGTTGACTCATGTCCGACCGCATAGCCGCATGTCGAGTGAACGTTTGGTGGAAGTCGGTTGAGCCGCATGCACAGCGCGAAATCGCACAAACCGAACCCGCGCAGAGCGGAAGAGAAACCTGTGTCAGGCTAATTCCAGGTGTGGAGAGTGAGTGGAGGGGAGCAGAGTGAGATGAGAGGGGGAGAGGCAGGAGAGTGTGTGGAGGGGAGTGGAGTGAGATGAGAGGCAGGAGAGTGAGTGGAGTGGAGTGAGATGAGAGGTAGGAGAGTGCGTGGAGGGGAGAGTAGAGTGAGATGAGAGGTAGGGGAGTGAGTGGAGGGGAGCAGAGTGAGATGAGAGGGGGAGAGGTAGGAGAGTGCGTGGAGGGGAGTGGAGTGAAATGAGAGGTACGCAGGAACTAGTCCATCGAGGATCGTGAAGACTGTGAGCACAATATTGACATTGGTCCAGCCTTTGTATCGGGAGCCCGCAGTGGAGGGACTGCGATGGAGGCACCGAGGAGATGGGTTGCAACTTGGGGTCTTGTACTGGACTGACGGAGCCCCGTAACCCGTTGCCATCCCGAAGGAAGCGGCGGAGCTCTTCAAGCGGAGGCTCGGCGCCAGCTACGGCGACCTCCTGCGCCTCGTCGCCGAGGACCGCGAGTCGGCGCTGAGGGCCGTGGACGCGGAGCGCGACGCCAAACTCTCGGCGGTCCGGCGCGACATCGGGAGGTGCGCCGAGGTGCTGGGCAGCCTCCGGGAGACGCTGGGCAGGATCGGCGACCTGGAGCGGACCCGGGACGACGCGGAGTTCCTCCAGGTGTGATTGCCGGCGGCACGGAGCGACTCGTAGGGGGGTGGGGGGGGGTCGCGATCGATAGAGCCATAAAAGTACCGGTGAGTTCCGCAAAGTGCCGAGTGTGTCTCTACACGCGCTCCTTGACATAGAGATCCGCGGTCAATGGATACTTTTTGATTATCTGCCGTCCTGCCCGTCATTAGCACAGCGAATTCGGATGTCCGACCGTGTCGACAGTTTTTAGCACAGCACGGGCGGGTGACATTAATTATTCCTTGCATGCATTAATGTTAATGGAAGTCAGTTTGAACATTTGTTTAAATGAATTACATAACCACGTGTGATTTGTTAAAATACATACAATAAACCTCCATAATACAGGTTTTTTTGGGGGGTTAAATCGCGTAAGTATATAAATGTGTAGTTTCTCCAAAAAACCTGTATTATGGATGATATTGGTCGCAAAAGCCTACGTGTTATACAATGAACCTGTGCGCTGACTTTTGGGTCACCCTGTATAACAGGGAGAAAAATATTAACGCTACAACTTGTCCATTAACTGAATCTGACTTTGTGTCTTTGCGCGTGCATTTGTGCATCTGTGTGTATTAGGGCCTCAAAGACAATTGGCAGAGGTGAGTTTGAACGTGTTAAATACAATACAGTACCCGTTATATACGTTCTGATCCCTGGTGCGCCGACTGGACATCAGATTCCTCCTCCGGTCTAAATAAACGTTCACGATTCTGATTCTTTCGCAGGCTGCCAGTGTGACACACGGAGAGATGCAGTGATCGCTCTCTCCCGAGGTTCACAGATAGATTGGTTTGGCACGCAGTCGCGCGATCTAACCCAACAACGACAAAAATAAACCAAATCTCTTGATTTGAAGCTTTCGTGACTGCAGGAATTACTCTTTGGTTCTTTCGGTAAAGTCACGTAGAAAGAAAATATGATCAAATAATAGAACACGACGTTTCGATTGCAACACAAGCAGTCGTCATCAGGTAGAAATAAATTTGGGAGAGAGACAAAATACAGACACGGAGACACACAGACAGACACACAAGCAGAGAGAGACAACACAGACACAGAGAGAGACACACAACATAGACAGGCAGACAGACACACAAGCAGAGAGAGACTCACACAGAGACACACAGAGAGAGACTCACACAGAGACACACAGAGAGAGACACACAGAGAGAGACATACAGAGAGAGACACACAACATAGACACACAGACAGACACAAGCAGAGAGAGACAACACAGAGACACACAGAGAAAGACACACAACATAGACACACAGACAGACACAAGCAGAGGGAGACTTACACAGAGACACACAGAGAGAGACACATAACATAGACACACAGACAGACACACAAGTAGAGAGAGACAACACAGACACAGAGAGAGACACACAACAATATAGACACACAGACATACACACAAGCAGAAAGAGAGACTCACACAGAGACACACAGAGAGAGACACACAACATAGACACACAGAGACACACAACATAAACACACAGACAGACACACAAGCAGAGAGAGACAACACAGAGACACACCGAGAGAGACACACAACATAGACACACAGAGACAACACAGAGATACACAACATAGACACACAGACAGACACACAAGCAGAGAGAGACAACACAGACACAGAGAGAGACACACAACATAGACACACAGACAGACACACAAGCAGAGGGAGACTTACACAGAGACACACAGAGAGAGACACATAACATAGACACACAGACAGACACACAAGTAGAGAGAGACAACACAGACACAGAGAGAGACACACAACAACATAGACACACAGACAGACACACAAGCAGAGAGAGAGAGACTCACACAGAGACACACAGAGAGAGACACACAACATAGACACACAGACAGACACACAAGCAGAGAGAGACAACACAGAGACACACAGAGAGAGACACACAACATAGACACACAGAGACAACACAGAGACACACAGAGAGAGAGACACAACATAGACACACAGACAGACACACAAGCAGAGGGAGACTTAAACAGAGACACACAAAGAGAGACACATAACATAGACACACAGACTGACACACAAGTAGAGAGAGACAACACAGACACAGAGAGAGACACACAACAACATAGATCACAGACAGACACACAAGCAGAGAGAGACAACACAGAGACACACAGAGAGAGACACACAACATAGACAAAGATAAAAAAAATCCCCCATATAGCCTTAACAGACTGTAGGGGCAGGTGCTGTTAGCGAGCACCTATGAAGGCCGGTAACGGTACACGAGGGGGTGAGTGGCCAGCACCACGCCCGACCGCCTTAGTCTCCCCAGTGGCAATGTTTTTATCCACCGCACCAGGTACTCATTTGAGGCTGAGTCGACCTAGGGGAGGCCCGGGACCGGTTCAGATAATCGTCACTGGTGTTGGCCGTGAGCGGGAATCGAACTCATGTCGCCGAGTTCATAGCGCAGCGCGCTAACCGCTACACTATCGCACACACAGACAGACACACAAGCAGAGATAGACTCACACAGAGACACACAGAGAGAGACTCACACAGAGACACACAGAGAGAGACACACAACATAGACACACAGACAGACACACAAGCAGAGAGAGAGAGACACACAACATAGACACACAAGCAGACAGAGACTCACACAGAGACACACAGAGAGAGACACACAACATAGACACACAGACACACAAGCAGAGAGAGACAACACAGAGACACACAGAGAGAGACACACAACATAGACACACAGACAGACACACAAGCACAGGGAAACTCACACAGAGATACACAGAGAGAGACACACAACATAGACACACACAGACAGACACACAAGCAGAGAGAGACAACACAGACACAGAGAAAGAGACACAACAACATAGACACACAGACAGACACACAAGAAGAGAGAGACTCACACAGAGACACACAGAGAGAGACACACAACATAGACACACAGACAGACACACAAGCAGAGAGAGACACGCACAACATAGACACACACAGACATACACACAAGCAGAGGGAGACAACACAGAGACACACACAGAGAGAGACACACACAACATAGACACACAGACAGACACACAAGCAGAGAGAGACTCACACAGAGAGACACACAACAACATAGACACGTGACTTTACCGAAAGAGTAACCAAATCTCTATTATGTCACGAATAGATTCCTCGTCACGTTACGCGGCGCTGACGATCGGAGCGCACTCAGCGCGCGGGCGGGAAGTCGGAGCGACGGAGGCGCAATGCGACCGTAACGACGACGACGTCGTCATTATTCTTCGCAGGTTCATGAATTTGCTGAACGAGCACCTGGAACACCCTCCGAGCGCGCCGGTCGAGTTCGCGACCGCGGGCCGACTGCAGCAGCGGATAGACGAGATCCTGAGCCTCTTCGCAGCTTCCAGGCGAGCCGCGCCTTCTCTGCCCGAGCCGCCCCGGGCGGCAAAAGCGGCGGAGGGGACGCCAGGAGTAGGGGGAGGAGCAGCGCCCCTTCCATCCCCAGCCACGCTTCCAGCTCCGTCCCCTGCTCTGACCCCAGCTCCGTCCTCAGCTCCACTCCCATCTCCGTCCACAGCTCCACTCCCATCTCCGTCCACAGCTCCACTCCCATCTCCGTCCTCAGCTCCACCCCCAGCTCCGTCCTCAGCTCCACTCTCAGCTCCGTCCTCAGCTCCACCCCCATCTCGGTCCTCAGCTCCACTCCCATCTCCGTCCTCAGCTCCACTCTCAGCTCCGTCCTCAGCTCCACTCCCATCTCCGTCCTCATCTCCACCCCCAGCTCCGTCCTCAGCTCCACCCCCAGCTCCGTCCTCAGCTCCACTCCCATCTCCGTCCTCATCTCCACCCCCAGCTCCGTCCTCAGCTCCACCCCCAGCTCCGTCCTCAGCTCCACCCCCAGCTCCGTCCTCAGCTCCACTCTCAGCTCCGTCCTCAGCTCCACCCCCAGCTCCGTCCTCAGCTCCACCCCCAGCTCCGTCCTCAGCTCCACTCCCATCTCCGTCCTCAGCTCCACTCCCATCTCCGTCCTCAGCTCCACTCCCATCTCCGTCCACAGCTCCACTCCCATCTCCGTCCTCAGCTCCACCCCCAGCTCCATCCTTAGCTCCACTCCCATCTCCGTCCTCAGCTCCACTCCCATCTCCGTCCTCAGCTCCACTCCCATCTCCGACCACAGCTCCACTCTCAGCTCCGTTCACAGCTCCACTCTCAGGTCCGTCCACAGCTCCACTCTCAGCTCCGTCCACAGCTCCCTCTCCAGCCACGCTCTCGGCAATGCAGGAGCCAGAACCAGCACCACCTCGATCCACCACTGCGGCGCCTGGACACTGCGCACGGAGCGACGTCTCGCTGGTTTGCCCCACCAAGGCCGAATTGATACGGAAATGTAAGTCGCGTGTTACACCAGGGGTGAGGAACCTCCCTCCTCTCCCTCCCTCCTCCTTCCTGCTCCCCCCTCCCTACCCCCTCCCTCCTCCCCCCTCCCTCATTCCTGCTCCCTCTTTTCTCCTCCCTTCTTCCTCTCCCCTCCCTCCTACCTCCTCCTTCCTGTTCCCTCCTTCCTCCCTGAAACCCTCCCTCTCATCCCTCCCCCACCCCCCATTCCACCCTCTCCTCCCTGCTTCCTTCTCCCCTCTATGCTCCCTTCTCGCAATCATCTTCTCCCTCCCTCCCCCCTTCCTACTCCCTCCTACTCCCTCCTTCCTCCTCGCACTGCTCCAGTCCTCCCTCTCCTTCCTCCTGCTTCTGTTGTCCGGCCACCACGTTTGGCTATCCCGGAGGCTTCTTGTTGTTGTATGTATGTTTGTTGAACTTCTTTCTCACCGTACGTAGCAAACCGTGCTCATTGGAGGTGCGGGGGGTAGGACAACAAACTAAATACAACAACAATCAGTTCTAAAGAAATTCGTTTTCAATTTAGAATAGTGGTGTCGTGTATCGTAGTAGAGTATATAGTAGCGTATAGCCTAGTGTATAGTGTAGTATGTAGTGTATAGTGTAGTGTAGTATGTAGTGTATAGCGTAGTGTGTATTGTAGTGTATACTCGTATGTATGTTGAACTTCTTTCGCACCGTACGTAGAAAACCGTGCTCATCGGACGTGTAGGGAAAGGATAATAACTTTAAAACAACAAGAAACAGTTCTAAAGAAATTCGGTTGCCGTTGATCTTGTTATTGGTCCTCTGTCCTTCCTCTCTCCCACGTTTTTCTAATTCTCTCCCCCGCTCCAACCTCTTCCTACCCTAAGGTAGTGTTTATTTCTTCATCGACTTTGTACAGCTGCTCGAAATGTGGTTGCATTGAAATGATAGCTATATGCGTGTGTATACATATGTAGAACTTGTTTTTGGACGGTGGCTAGGAGATGTTAACTACCTCGCCTGGTATGCCGGTTGTGGATTCGATCCCGACAATGACGCCTGCTGTATATTTGGAGTTTGATGGTTCTCTCTCTCTCCCTGCTCACGTGGATTTTTCTCCAGGTCCTCCGGTTTTCCCTCCACGCTTACAAAACATGCGTTTGGCATATTTGGCCGCTATCAATTTCACATGATCAACCGCTTCGTTGAGCTTATCATTTGTGATGGCCAGGTCGCTTCTGAAAAAAGAGCTACATAGCTCAGCGGGGTCTTACCTGGTTAAAGAAAAAAGTTTAGCTTAGTAGTTGTTTCATGTGTATCGTTGTGTTCTAGATGGCTGCTCTCCTTGTCTGAACCCGGACTCGGCTCACCGGTGGCTTTGTGTGTCCGAGGACCGGAGGACGGTGAAGATGAATCTCAACCAGAAGCCGCCCGACCGGCCGGACCGGTTCGAAACTCATCAGCAGGTCCTGGGCTCTGACGGCTTCTCGTCCGGACGCCATTACTGGGAGGTGGACGTGAGCAAAGCCAAGTGGTGGCGCGTGGGTGCCGCGTACGAGACGATCCCACGAAAAGGCAAAGCTAAGGGGAATAGGCTGGGGGAGAACCCCGTGTCGTGGTGCTTGCAGAAGCAGACCATCCTGACTGCGCGACACGGGGGCGCGGAGGATTCGGTGAGGACGATGGCGACGACTCATCGGAGAATCGGCCTCTACCTGGATTGGGAGGCAGGGCTGCTGTCGTTTTACGACGACGCTGGCGGCGACGTCGCCGTGCTGCTGCACTCGTTCGAGCACAAATTCATGTGGCCTCTCCTGCCCGCGCTCGAGCTGGGCGGACAGTTCAAGGGTAGCTCTCTGTCGATGGCAAAGCTCGACTGATGCGCCGCTGCGGTCGAGTCGATTTCACAAACGGATTCTTCGACAAGCCTTCGTGGGGCTGACGATCAGAACGCACTCAGCGCGTGGGCGGGAAGTCAGAGCGAAGGAGGGCAATGTGTCCTTTTTGGTGCAAAGCTGCCAATCAAAGCGCCATCATCACATTAATGTTCATAAACGTAGAACATTCTATACGATCTAAAGTATATAATATATATACACTGCAGCCAACCCGTGCGAAGCCTAGCTCTGCAACGCCACCCAAACAAACCAACCCCGAGTCTGGAGGATGGGGCGTGGCATAATGAGAAAGGGGGCAGCGCCTAAAAAGGATAGGTTGCAGAGGTTTTATAGAGGAAGGGGCAGGCCGTACAGAGGTTGAATTTCCCTGTTGACTTAAGGTTATATTCTATTCCCTGTGGAAATACGTTCATGAGCAAAGTGCCACTGTCGAGGCCTCCTAGCCACGAGAGGGCTTTGGCTATTCCTCTGTTGAAGGAGCATAGACTACACTGGTTTACTCTACGATCCATAGTTTTTGTTTCCTGCCCACAATCGCACTACTGTGGCTTGGTGTCTTTAATTTTCCATTCACGAAGGAGATGTCCGTGCATTGGCCTGTTGATGCGGGTGATGGTTACACCACCAGTGTCTACGGGGGAATGTCAAAGCCAGGAGGTTATGATGATGCTTGGGTCTCGGATGAGGTCTTCGTTCTGGAGGCCTGCGTTTGTTCCACTCTCTTCGCCAACAGCAGCATTCTTCCACAACTGGGTGAGGTTTTAGGATAGTGACAGCAGCAGCAGCAGCAGTGCGATCCCAGAAGGGGCATCGGGACTTGAGGCGAAGGCGAGATGACATTGTTGAGATCTTGGTTGATGATGTTTGTAGGTCAGTTGTCGTTGGCAAGAAGAGGCGTCACCTCCCTTGCAGTTTTTGCGTGATGTCTCTGTGGATATTTGGTTTGCAGAATGTTCGCGAGGACAGGGGGGGCGGGTGATTGTTGTCGGTTTGAATGCTCCAGTTTGCGATGCGTGTTGTGTCGTGTTGAGTGAACCCCCCGTTGAAACTTTGAAGCTCATTTTTATTTGTAATTGAAATGTGTGAACACATGCGTGTACAAAAATGAGACAATACGAATGGGAAATGCAATCACAAGGACGTGTTTTCGTAAACCGATATCGCATTCATCATCATCGTATCGTGAAATTTAACATGAAACCGTGTCATATCCTGATTTAAAAAAATATGTTGCGGCGTCCCTAGCATGAACACACAAATAAAAAAAGATGTGGACTTGGTTAAGTTATTTTGGTGTTTTCCCCTCGCATGTGTTGGTTTTTCTCCAGTTGCTCCGATTTTCCTCCCGCATGTAAGACACTCATCATTCATTGGCTGCAAACACCTAAATACAGAGAGGACTGCAGAGCTTGGGCAATTGTTGGTAGCGCCGGCTCAACCCCACGTGGCTGCTGCTGCCACCCTTCCTCTCCCGTCCGGTTCATCCTCGCGCCTCCCTGAGTCGACCCTCTCCATGTGACGGTGGCGCTTTGAGTGGCAGAATTGCGGCAAAAGGTCGCCACGTGCCGTGACAAGGCCAACACGGTGGTGGCGTGTAGCGTAGTAGTATCGACAAGGCTCGATTGCTGCAACTCGCTGTCCTACGGGACGCCTGGCAAAAACATTAGCAAGCTGCAGAGTGCACAAACTTGTGTCGTGACGGGTACTGCAAGCAAGATCCGACCGTGTCCGTCCGGTGCTCACCGAGCTGCATTTAGCTTGCAGTTGCCGAGCGAATAAATCATGAAGTCGCACTCATTACATTTGTAGTGCTTATAATGACGAATAAACTTCTTATGAGGCACACTCTGTTTATTGTAATACTTCTCTTTACACAGTCCTTAACACACAGAGGGGTATACGGTCCCCTCACCCGATACCCTAAGAAGGTACAGCCTCCAGACTTAGCGTGACCGACACACAGGTCTCTTGCTAACCTAAGGAGGTACAGCCTCCTGTCTTGGCGGGACTTACTCACACGTCTACCGCTATCCTAGAGTCCTCCGGTTGGGACCTAGGGGAGGCTATCTGACCCACCGCTGGCCCGGTGGGTCTTGACCACTGGATGCGCTGAGCCTTAGCCCTCAGAAGGGCTGGAAGGCTGGGTCCAGGGTCCTGGCTATCTTCAGCCTGGGCTCCGGTCTTCGTGTAGGGAGAGAACTCCCCGCGCTTCGTGCGCTCACCCTTCTTATACCCGTTGTGACCAGGTGTAACCAATCCCACACTCACACGTGGAACTGTCTGATTGGTTCTTACCAAACTATGGCTACGATCCACTTCACCTCGTCTGACCCCAACCGTTATGTACACAGAGGTAACGCTGCACTGCCCCTTTGACACCTAGCGGCAATGCAGGTTACCGAACAGTGAATAGTTAACACCTCTACACACACAAAGTGCTTGCCACAAATGAACCGCAACACCTTGCCGATCTCAAGGAGCATAAACCAACATCACACGATCTCCAGTCGTCCTCGCAGCGGCTTTTGGCTGGCCATCGAACAAAGACGCATCGCACACTTTCAGATGCGCTTCCGCGCCCATCTGGAACGCTCTTGCGGTATTAGGAAGCCACCAGAGCTGTGCACTTTCAAATAATTTAGATTGAAAACTCATTTATTTAGAAATACTTTTCGTGTTTAATTTGTTGTTCTTTCCCCCGCACCTCCGATTAGCACGATTGGCTATGTACGCTGCAACATACCGTACATACATCACTCACCAGCCCATCAACGATGACAAAAACGCACACGCATGCATACAGTGCAGCAATACCCCAGGTTTACGTCCGGGGATGCGTCCCTGAAAGGTGCGACGACGAATAACGAAACGGCGTAAATCGAAGCGCATTACAGGACCGGTGGTGGAGGTGAAGGCTTGAGAGGCGGCGGATACAAGGGAGGGCAGGGCGGACGATGCAGTCAGCGACTTAAGTCTGTGGGGGTTAAGGCGACGCAGTGACGACGTATTTGCGAAACAACGCCAGAATCATGATCAGAATGTTTATTTATGCTCCAGGAGGAATCCCATGAGCTATGAAGCTCTTTGTTCACAGATGTCCAGTTCGGGGCACGGGGTACGAACGTTACAACAACAAACACAATACTCACAAACACGATGGGAGTGCAAAGTATAGGCAAGGTAAGCAAATCGCTGCAAAAATAAATACAAATGAAACTAAACTATTTTTTTTTTAACCAGGTAAAGGCCCACTGAGACAAGTAGCTTATTTTTCAGACTTAATATCGGCGCATTGCCGTGCATTGAACTCGCGATTGGCTACGCACAGTGCGAAAGAAGTTCAACAAACACGCGGTCTGTTCCCCTATACAGCGGTGGCAGTTGCGTTCCCGGAGAACACTGCGCTTCGGAAACATCGCGTTATAATAAGGATTAATAGAGGGGTAAAGCGCAGACCACGGTAACACGTGAGATGCGTACGCAGGCCGAACAAATAATATATATATTTTTAAATGGACATTTATAAACGCGCCAGATCTTGCCGACAGGCCAACAACTCAGAGGCGTGGGAGATAGAGGAGGCATTTCGATGTTTCTAGAAAGTCCGAGTGCATTTGATGTTGCGGATGTGCAAAGGGATTGGAGAGTTCCACATTGATGGGGGCGACAGCAGAGAACCGACGTGAGGATGTAACAGTATAGTGTAGTGTATTGTGTAGTCTATAGTAGTGTATAGTGTAGTGTATAGTATATAGTAGTGTAGTTGTGTAGTGTTATAGTGTAGTGTATAAGAGTTTAGTGTATAGTGCAGTGTATAGTGACGTGTAAAGTAGTGTAATTTATAGTAGTGCAGTGTACAGTAGTGCAGTGTACAGTAGTGTAGTGTATAGTAGTGTAGTGTATAGTGTAGTTTATAGTATTGTAGTGTATAGTGTAGTGTATAATGTAGTGTATAGTAGTGTAGTGTATAGTGTAGTGTATAGTGTAGTGTATAATGTAGTGTATAGTGTGGTGTATAGTGTAGTGTATAATGTAGTGTATGGTAGTGTATAGTGTAGTGTATAATGTAGTGTTTAGTAGTATAGTGGATACCGATGTGAGGCTGCAACAATTCGAGACCTTGGTGTCCGAAGCAGATTTTTAGTGACGCTGCGTAGGCTTCTACGGTGGAGCTTCAGGGCAAGCCGAGAGTGGCGAGGCGAGCTCGGTATGATGGGGAACCGGTGGTTGAAGGAGCGATGACAAAGGAGGAGGGGCAGGCGCGATTTTGTCATGTGCTGGCGAAAGGGAGCCAACGAAGAATACGGGAGAGCGGTGGCTGAGTCGAGTCGGAGATGGTGGACACCGAGGACGACACGAGAAGAAGGTTGAGATGAGGTTTTATCCCCCTTTTTTCTGGCAGCGAAACAGCTGTTTTGAGATGTTAAAACACCAAAACTGAAACCTTTTTACAAGGAATCATGTTACTGCATTAACCACAATACTTGTGGTCAGAATGCAAACAAAAAACATTCTGGTAATATATGTGACATTGTCTTTGAAACTGATTGGTCCACAACCAGAGACATCTTTCTTTCGAGCCGAGTCTCAAACGGTGTTAGGCCAGAGGACGTCAAAAGGCGCCGTTTGAGACGAGGCTCAAAAGAAAGCTGTCTATAGTGTGGACCAATCAGTTTCAAAGACAATGTCACATATATTATCAGAGTGTGTGTGTTTT